TCCCTCCCCCTCTCTCTCTGAGAGATATGTGCATGTCAAGGAGAGAGATCGAGAGATGGAGAGAGCGACAGAGAGAAAGAGAGAAAGCGAGAGAGAGAGAGAGGGGAGAGAAAGAAGAGAGGGGAGAGAGAGAGAGAGAGAGAGAGAGAGAGAGAGAGAGAGAGAGAGAGACGAGCGTCAGACAGTCAGACACTGAGACAGACAGAGTTAGAAGACCTAGAGAGCGAGAGAATGACAGAGACAACACAAGAGGCGACTTTAAAGACGGGACGTGAGCTATACAAACACACATGTCGACGAGGCACACCCTCGAGGTACGCCTGCACTGTTTACTTCCCGCTGCCCACACGCGCGGCCCGCCGACACCGCCCGGACTCAGCATCTCGCGCCCAACAGTTGGGAGAGACCTCTGTGTTCTCTCCTTCCATTCCGCGGTCGCCACATGCACAGAGAACACCTCTTCAACTTGGACCAACAGGTTCGGACATTTTTTTTTTTGTCAGCAAGTTTTGTTTTTGTTTTAGGTAAGAGTTTTACGGCACCAGCAACATGATCAGATCATTCAGTGCCAAGATTGGAGGAGGTAAGATTAAGACGATAGACTTTCGAGAGTAAAAAAGGGGGCAAGGAAAATCAAACAGTTTCGTTTTTGTTTAGTTTTTTAAAGTGTTTTATGGCACTTACAACACAATAAGATCCTACATTAAGAACTAAAGATTAGGTGTTATAAGAGAGTAACAGACTTTAAAAAAAAAAAAGAATGTTATAAGAGAGTAACAGACTTTTTAAAAAAAGAAGGAAAAAAAAGGGGGGAGGGGGGTGGAGTGCTGATGAGGACGGCAGATGTCTGACAGTAAAGATGGAGCAAAGCACACCTGGGCACCTGAAAACCGGTTTGGTTTTTGGGTGGATTGTTTTGGGTCTTGTTTATTTAATGAGCCATCTTGAGGAATGAAAGCCTCGTATATAATCAATACACCAAAACCACTACCCTCTCTTAATCACACCGGTCAATGGCTAGAGGAAGCGCATTCCTTGTTAACTAAAAACTCGATTACTGAAAAATCAACTCCTTTTCTTTCAGTTATGCCAAATCGCATAACATTTTTCTAAGCAAGAAGATGTTCAATATGGAATCCCGTATCAGTTTCAGTTTGGTAAAAGCATTACACAGCTTGAAACTGCAGAAGTCCACATGAGCGAGCGGGACACGAGATGACTTATGACGGAGTCGGTAAGGGGAAAGGAAACGAGGTCGACCAAAGAACACGTGGCGCTGAGAGGTGGCAGAGAACACACTGGAGGTCGGGGAAAACGTGGAGACAGCTGGAGAGACTGGCCCAGGAACATCGCGGTTCAATCCCTTGTCATTATCTTTCTGTTCATGTTATCGGTTTTCTCAATTAATATGTCAGATGGCATCTCCTTCTCCCC